AAGCTAAAAGTCGGAAGAGACTTCCACAAGCGAAAAGTGCGATAGACGAAACTGTTAGCTTTCAACTTTAAGACCTAGCTGCCAATCTAGTACCGCGCTCAGAATTATAATGTCTTGTTACTAGAGAGAAAAGTTCAGGAGACAATTACCATAAAAATATTTATAGGAAAGGTAGATGGAAGGTACGCTACGGCGGTGGGAAAGCAGTGATGCCATTCAGATCTAATATCATTGCAGATTCTTCTTTGGATTTTATCGGGAATGTCTAAATTCTTAGCAGAAGTAGCAGTAATAGGCAAAGCATAGACGAATGGTACACTTATAAATGTCTAACCAGGATTATGTCGAGAAAAATATGCCTTCTCGACAGAGTGAACAAACTTTCCTAACTTAAGACCTAGCATTTTATGCAATATAATCTTCACATTTCATGTCAGCAGATGACGTTAATTTGGGAATGCAAAATGAGTCACTATCCTTGGGGTTAGCATCAGCCGTAATAATGAAAGGCAAAACACGATTAATTGCCCCAGTTAACAACAAACTGTAAGAGATCTTTGAAATCAACTACCAGTCCGATCTTATCGATCTGATCAGATTTACAATTAAGACAGGAGTAAATAGTTTTGTAATCATCATAGATGTCGAGTTGAGACTGATGAAATCGGAATGATCGTGGATAAAAATGAGGTTTAACGTAGATACAAGAATAGATGCATTGGAGACACACGCATTAATAGAAAAAAGATCTAGAAGAGTATCCATTCAAGACAACTTTCATTTCGCGATTTCAGAAGAAAGATCGGATCATATCAAAAATTCGCCCAGAAATAAAATAACTTTTCAACTTATGAAGAAGATCCGTATGCCAAACCCTATCAAATGTTTTAGACGTATCTAAAACAACAATACAAGTTGTAACGTTCTTATCTAAAGCTTTACAGACTCTTTCAACAATAACTATTAACACATAAGCAACTTAGAGATGTGAGAGCTAGATTGCTTTTCTGAAAGAAAACACTGCGAGGTTAGATGGTTAACCATTTTGAAGTTCATTGGAATTTCTAGTACGGGGCAAATCTAGTTAGAAAGCTAATCGAATTGGAATAAAACTTACAAGCTAAACATGCTGCTTTATCAGAATTGATAATTCTTCATAATGAAGAAAGAAAATAAGAATAGAAGACCTACTCTTATTTAACACACTATAAATTGGATTTAGCATATACTCACCCGCCCAGTAAAAGAAACGAAAAACACACGATATTAATAAAAAGCGAGAAAAAAATGCGAAAGAGTTATTTCCCTTTCACATAATTTCAAATCGAGCAGAAACCTCAGCTTTTGGGACCCGAATATATTCAGCAAGATTTATTTCAATTTTTTTCATTATTTCATTTTTATGTTATTTTATCTGTTTATTTATTTATTTATTGCATTACTTACATTTTAATTTTAGATGCTTTTTATTGCAACTCCTATATCGTCTTTCTAGGAAATCTGGCAGCAGAAAACCGTGTCCTGGGTAAGACGATAAACTACGTCCAACAGCAAGGCCTCTGATCAGGAGGTTTTGAGGAGCGTGGAACCACCTCTTAATTGCTGGTCTTCCCAGATCCACCCTGTCCCGGGGTGGTAGCACCTGTTAGGGTCCCAGCTATGGGCAAATAGTTAACCCCCAAACTGGGGTTAAAACACTATGAAAGTGTAAAAATAGATTTTAATACCAGGAATACTTGTAAATAAATTATTGCCAGCAATACATTTTTGAAGAAAAAATATTACCAAAAATAGATTTATGAAGGGAAAAATATTACTAACAACAAAAATGTTGTCGGCATTAAAAAAACCCATTAAGGTTGATATACCGTAAAACAAACCAAACCAAACCTAGCAGCAGAAAAGCTCTAATTCGCACCTCCTATATTTGAAGAATATCTTTGCAAAAGCTAACCGGATTGAGCCAAGAAGACCAACCAGTTCGAGACATTTAAATTCCACCTTCTTTTGATTTTTTTTTTTTTCCGAACGCCATATTCCGCCATTTTGTTTTCTCTGCACTAGATCCCTAAAGTTCTACATATTTCTTATAGTTAGCAATTATAAAATTTTGGCTGGTGCTTCTTTTTTCTTATTTATATTTCTGCCATTCTACGATCGGTAAAGAAGCGAATCAGATCGGAAATAAAAAAAAAACGTCTTCGACAAAATCATTTTCCTTATCTTTGTGGTAAAAGATGTAAATTTATATATTAAACTTAGCGATTGTTATATCGCAGAGTTGCAAAAAAAATGAATAAGATATAATGCAAACTAAGTACTAATCAAGCGTAATAAAAATCGACATCTAATAATGTACTAATAATATTAATAAGGTAACAAAATGTAACATAAAAGAGAGAATTACTAATAAAAACCTAATAACTGATAGTGTGTCATCTAAGAAATTCAAAGACGCTTAGATCGGGATATTTCGTTTTGCAAATATAATTGGGAAGAACATTCAAGATCAATCAATTTCTGGAGTACTGGTGAGAAAAATTGTCTTCTCGTGTGTTACGATGGCATAAAGTTCAATATTGATTCATTGCTTCAAGCATCTGACCTTGTCTCAATCCAACTAGCGAAGATTCCTCAATGGTTATACAATTGTGATGCTTGCGTAGTATAAGTATCTATTAATCATGATTTGCTCTTCTCTATCTATCTATCTATCTATCTATCTATCTATCTATCTATCTATGTCATTGTTCTTATCCAATTTGCTTTTTCTTTCTATTTTTTATCTATCGCATAAATGCATATTATTAACTATCTGTATACCGATATATTTTTCTCTCAGTTTGTCTATCTCTATCTCAGTCTTTTTCTATCTATCTATCTATCTATCTATCTATCTATCTATCTATCTATCTATCTATCTATCTATCTGCAGTCTTTTCATATCTATCTATCTATCTATCTATCTATCTATCTATGTCTCTTAGTCTATATACCTGTCTGCCTCATTCCATTTCAGCTCTCTGCCTTTTTCTATCTATCTAGCTAGCTAGCTAGCTGGCTATGTCTGTCTCTCTGTCTATCTATCTGTCTGTCTACCTCTGTCCTTTTTAGCTGTTTGATTTTTCTTTCTTTCATTCTATCTATCTATCTATCTATGTCTATTGGCTATATATCTGTCTTCCTCATTTTGTTTTCAGCTCCCTGCCTTTTTCTATCTATCTATCTATCTATCTATCTATCTATCTATCTATCTATCTATCTCAGTCTATTCATATCTATCTATCTATCTATCTATCTATCTATCTATCTATCTATCTATCTATCTATCTATCTATCTATGTTTCTCTATCTCTCTGTTTTTCTGCCTCAATCATTTCTAGCTGTCTGATTTTTTTCTATCTATCTATGTCTCTTAGTCTATATATCTGTCTGCCTCATTCCTTTACAGCTGTCTGCCTTTTTCTATCTATCCATCTCACCGTATTACTGTCTGAGTCTTTATCTTTCTATATGTCGTATTTTCATATTCTTGATGTCATCAATACAAACCTCGAGGTTTAAACTATTAGTAAGAATGAAATAAAGATCAGCCGCAAAATGCACAAAAAGCTCTTTTATTTATTTTTTTCTTTTGTTTTCACTTTCTTCGCTTTCGTTGTTTATAAATTGCCCTTTTGCCTCCAGCATTCATTTTCATTTGACAGTTACTTCGACTGTTTCTCTTATTTCCCAACGTCATGCAAATGTTTACACCAAAAAATGAAGCCGAAAAGATTTTTTTTGGACGAACACATTCTCAAATGTTTATTCGAAATAATAAATTTATTTACTACTTTTCTATTATCAAAGTGCCAACAAAATGTCTGACGCATGAATTACGTCATCATTCATCGGCTAAAATGTGGCTCCTTCACTATCGTCATTTTAACGAAATTTAATATGTACGCTTGCCTGTCTATTTTAAACTAAATAAGTATTTTAAATCCAAAAACAATTTCTCAACATTGAATTGAAAAAAAAATCAACAAACAAATTAATATTAAATATTATCTTTTCTGATTGCCTCAGTACAGTGTAATAAGGCTTATCATTGAGTTCTATTCTCAATGCCTTCCCAGTACATGTAACCTTCTGCTTAACTAAGGTATGATAAGAAGAAGGTTCTACCCGGAAATTCCTTCCCTAGGAAGTGTCAATTTGTTGACTCCCGAGAGTGTGCTTCCGCAACCGCTAAAATCTACAAAACTTCATGTTGAGAATCAACCGACATCTATGCTGTATATCCACATAAGACACACCTCTTCTGCCTTCCTCCTCTCATTGGTGGGCTCTTTAGCCTTGTATTGGGAAAAAAAAACATGTTAAGTAAATACTAACATGCGTGAAATCTTGTATTTTGCTCCAAAAACAAAAAAATAATAAAGGCATCTCTATATATATATATATATATATATATATATATATATATATATATATATCATACTTGTTCCTATGACTCTACCTATATATCTTTCTCTCAGCTGTCTTGCTCCGTCTTTATCTATCTATCTATTTATGACTTTTCCTATATATATATATATATATATATATATATATATATATATATGTAGTAAAACCTAGAGAATTAGACCTACCAAGGTTTAACTTAAGCGGATCGTCAGGGAAAGCCAGCTTTCCTGACGATCCGCTTAAAAACCTTGGTAGGTTTGTCTGGGTCTCTAGGTTTGACTAGGTCTGCTCTACTTTTGCATTGAGCTCTTTTTTAGTTAGTTGATTACTCATATAGGGTTTTTTTTCTTTGGGCTTTGGACCTGTATGCTGTAGGATTATATATTTTTAGTGGTACAAAACTTGGGTTTTGTTTTAAAAGTATTAAGTTTAACATTACAATGCATAATGAGGGATAAAAAAAATGATAAAAGTGGGGAAGAACAACCGGTTTCGCTCCCACTCATCAAAGTTTCTTTATCGGGAGAATTATAAAATATAATAAATATGAGATATGAATTAGTCAATGATGGGAATAGGGGAGAAAAAAAAAGAATTACTAAAAACAGATGACAGCAAAACTTGTTGTAAAGCCGACTCTATTATTTTCAAAATGAAAAACTGAATATGAATTTGCTAAAACAGAGAAACGATCTACAGAGTATTAACTCCTTCCTCCCCCGCCTACTTGGATGAAATGTGACACAAGGTCCTTTTTAAGTGGGGACCCGAGCACGTACGCCCGAGACAAGGACACAAATTGCCCACAGCCACCGCAACTTTCGGATGCGCTGGCCTCGGTGCGAGCACTGATCCCTCCCTCTAGTGCAATGGGAGGGCGCGGCCTCGGGCAGCTGCTCCCCAGAGCTGGTCACCTCTTCAGTATAATTTTCTTCAGTTGAACTCTGTCCTTTGAGACGCAACTGAGAAATGATAAACCTGCGTTAGAAACGCCTCCAAAGAGTAATTTGCGCACAAAGCAATCTACATTAAATTCGATAGCACACTTTCTGCTATTTATCAGATGTTCGAAAAATCGAGGAACAATAAGTATTACGGATGAGTTCATTTTGTTCCCAGGAATGGTTCCTGATTTTCAATGGAACATGTTTAATTCTAGTATCAAACCGCTGAGTAGTTCTCCTTATATAAGTGACACGGTAGTTACAATCATATTTATAAACTACAGAACTTATTTGATAAAGTGGGAGAACTCCCTTACGACTAGAAGATAGAATCGATCTAGTACCAAATTCAACACGCATCTCGGAAGAAAAATGACACTTTTACACATTTAAAGAAATTTGCCTCGTTAGGTTTTCACTATATTCTCCAATAGAAGGAAGTCTTGAATACACCGGACATTTTGCAATAATAACCGGCTTAATTTTTCTGAAGTTAGCAATCTTGTCATGTATCACCGAATTGACAACAGTGGGTGAACACCCATTATCGGCAATATTGTCATGAATCAGCGAATTGACAATAGTGGGTGAATACACATTATCGGCAATATTGCCATGGATCACCGAATTGATAACAGTGGGTGAATACACATTGTCGGAAATAATGTCATGAATCACGGAATTGATAACAGTGGGTGAATACCCATCATCGGAAATATTGTTATGAATCACGGAATTGATGACAGTGGGTGAATACCCATTATCCCTTAAAGTTTTCGTTATAAAACTGATCTCACTATTGAAAAACTCTTCAGAACAGATCATCAATGACCTATGCCTTAAAGTTTTTATAAGGTTTATTTTGCGCTTCTTACAATGAGTGTATAAACCCGAAAAAGTAGATTTTTCTATAAACTAAGGTTCGAAAAGATGTTGGTGTTCAATGCCAAGAAATAAATTTAGAGTTAACCAGTTTCTCACCAATAAACCTCAAAGAAGGATTAAGATTATTAAAAGAGGAGAGATATTAATCAACCTCAGCTTCATCATTAAATGAACAGAATATGCCATTAACAGAGCAACGATACAAAGAAGGACATTATGGGTTAAATTGCTTTTTTGGTGCTTGGTAACAATGTTTAATTTATACAAGTCTGGTTAAAGACCAATGATAGTTCCTTGTTATGAAGATTATATTTTTGTTTATATTTCAAACTATTTAAATTTTTCGATTTCGCGTGTATTTGGATTAACTTGACAAATAGCATTCTGAAACTTTCAGGGTGTAGCCAACAAAATCTTGTCTATCGTATGATAGACAAGATTTTGTTGGCTACAAAATTCATTTCTTGAAAATATCTGCGACGATTGAAATTAGTTCAATCAAAGCAGTAAAAAAAAGACCTTTTGTACTTTTTGAAGAATCTTTATTTGAATGTAGGACATCATATTCGAAAACTGTAAAAATATAACGTATTTAACAGGCAGACCCAGTCGCTTGAATCCAACAATAGTTGTTCAAATATATATATATATATATATATATATATATACCACCGAATTTTTCCTCATTATTTTAATTCTCTTGCTTGTTTTGGGGATTTTAATGACGTGTTGCGTAATGAACAGAACCACCAGATCTGTTGCGATTTAAAAAAAAAAAATGATTAAAAATTTAAAAGCAAAAAAGAAAATGTGTGACAATGAATCATTTTCAAGGCTTTTATTATTTCAAACGAGTCACATGGCGGAAGATAAAACGAGAAAAACCAAAAAAAGGAATTCTTTTTGATGAACTGAGACCGCACATTTGAACGGTTTTTCGTCTCTCATCTTTCCGAACCCCCACAAAATAAAATAAAATATACATCTACGGAAAGTTTGGGTGTGGTTAGATTTTGTCACTTTGCGCACTTATGCTTGCGTCACTTCAAAGACGTCACTGGAAATATGAAGCTATTACGGAAGGTGAGTCAGCCACTTCTCGTCGCTACCTTCGAAATTAATTGGTTGCGAATTTTAAATAGCTTTCGACAAGCCATCATTAAAATCTGTCGGCTGTTTTTACTCTGCCAGAACCATATTTAACGTAACAGCTAATTACTCATGTAACAAAATGGAATGTCTTGTTTTTACGAGGAAATTATTAAAAGATCTGACAGGTGTTTTCTTTTTACTTTTTTATGATTTTATTTGATATTCTCGTGATATATTGTCTGCTTCAGAAATTTACTTACATTGAATTTAATGAAGGATGCGTCTTTCAAAATTCAATAATTTTGATTTACATTTTTTTCTCCATAACTCCTTGATCATTTCCAGATAATTGTCGGTAAAGAAAAAAATGGTCAATTATATTCATAAAGTAATGTGGCACTTTTGGCGACGCAATAAATAAATACTGCACAAATAGTCGAAATTTAAAACGCTTGATATTTATTGGCCAAGATATAACAGCAGATTCAAGTATAAAATTACTAAGATGCTGCAAAAGTTTCCAATGCTAATTTGTACAATGTTAGAGAAATGTTAGAAGCGTATTTCAAGTTGTCTTACTTGTTTACTGCCTGTGAAATCATTGACGCTTGTTCAATATCCACAAGGCTAGAAAGAATTCAGATGACAGGAGAATATTGTCGAGATGAAATTATTGAAACTCATTTGTAATAAGACAGAATGTATCGTTATTTACAAACAAGAGATTTAAGACTAGAACTACGGATTGGAGATATTGACATCAAAGAAACATAGAAGTTTAAGTCATTTGGAAAGTGTTTTCTTAGATAGACAAATGTCGTACCGAAATTCAAACGCATATTGGAGTAAAGAATGATGCAATCGTAACGCTAAGCAAAGTAATAAGAGACATGAAAATTTTGTTAAAACCAAAGAAAAATGGCTGAACTTCTATGTAATACAATCCACTTGCATAACATTTTGCCAGTTATTTAAAGGCAGAAAATATTTTAGATTGTAAACATTTTTTGGAGATAATAATGAATTACTTATACAAGTCCTACTAATTAACGTGGGGAAGAAGACGTGGACTCATACCTTTCCTAAGGGTACTTAGTTGGATGTAACGAACTAAACTGGAATTGGAACTCGGCTCTTCAATTTCCAATTCCGACCGTTATCCATTATACGACCCGCACATCCATGCTTACAGCACCTGATATTCCCAAAAGGTCACCTATCTAGGTACTAACCAGTTTTGAGGAGAATGATGATATAAAGACAGTTTTAGGACCTCTTGGAAATGGAGTCAGCAAGAACAAGAGCAAAAAGAACGGACAATCTATCAACTGTAAGAAGATAAAATAAATGTTCGTCAGCAAAAAAATGGCACAAGATTAGTATTATGAATTGAGGTGCCAAAAATCAAGCAAGCACAGATGTCTAAAATATTTTCATAGAAGATTGAATATGTGACATCGAAATCCGAAGTCGAATTGAAATAGCAAAAGATGCATTCCAAAACTAAACAAAGTATCAAGAAACAAGAAAAGAATGCTGAACTACTATGTAATATCGGTAACTCTATATGGCAATGAATACCAGACAATTTTCTCACAAATGAAGAGAAGATTGGAGTCAGCAGAAATGTAGTCCTACAGGAGGATACTGAGAATATCATGGGCGCAGCGCGTAAGCAACATAGAAGTCTTAAGCAAAATAGAAACAAAAAGTATACTAATATTGAGAATCAGAAATTTCTTGAAAAAATAATGAGAAAAGAGGGCTTGGAGAATTTGATACTCATATGGCATATCGAATGCAAAAGAAAGAAAAATGGCGAGCTTGTTTAAATGAATGATGAAAACGGGTTATGGGAGGGATGGCAAAGAGACAAACGTTGCTAAGAGCTAAAAGAATTTGTGGAGAGTCATGATCGCCCAGGCGATTAAGGGAGACAGCACATGTTCCGCATAAATTTAAACGAACATGGGTAATGATTAAAATACTTTCTAGAATTTCGGAATGATATTTTAGGGTAACGAGATTTCCTCAAATCCTTTTTCTTTTTCTTTTCTTTTCAACACGGATTTAAAGAAACCAACATCGTCAAACAATAATAAAATAGTCTTTCTTTTCCGCAATAAATAAAAATAAACAATTAAGCACATAATCCATTTTGCCCACATTAACGTGAAGAAACGAACATCGAACAACAATTATCTTTTTATACGAATCCTCACCCAATACAAAGCCCAAGAGAAAATCAAGGTTTTTTCTTTCCGGTTTAGGATTTGGGTTTCCAAGTCTTCATTCTCCTTCATTCCCAGCAGCTCCTTGCGTCTTAGTAGCCTTATCGCCTTGCTTGGTGTGACTTGATTACTGTGTGGTGTTGGATGAGCGCAGGAAAAAGCAAGAAATGAAGTTCATGGGTCTATATAGGAAAGAAAACGGTTAACCCAAGACTTGAAGAGTTAAGAAGGATTTGATAATTGACAGAGCCCTTCCACAGATTCCATAGCTCGAGAAATTATGTGGCCACCCACGATGTCACACCATGTCAAAGGCTTTGGATATATACAGGGAAATGTTCCTTGTGATGAATTTATTATCCAGTACCTCGCTGATTCTGTGAGTAATTACGACATCCGCAGTGGAACTAGCATGGCGAAATCCATACTTACTCAGAACGCTTTTCCTTTTGAGGCGATCAACAACTCTCTTGTTGATTACAGATTCGAAGAGCTTTCTAATGTCACTAAGGAGGCTAATATTGCGACAGACAAGAGCAAACGCTCGCATTAAAAACAACAACAAAAAAAAAACAAAGTACACAGACGAAATTTTCCATGGATTTTGGACGTAACTCTCCTTCGGTTGAACAGTTTTGCCAGAATTGGAGATAATTCGCGGTTCATAGGCAGCCGTCGTCGTCATCCGTCCGTCTTGAGAGACGATGGAGTAGCGCGATGCGCTACGAGCCTGGGCTGGATATATGGAGAACTAGGGCTGCATAGACGTCTAGTTCCCTCTCTCGGCCTTACTAGCAGAGTCCAAAGGAGAGGATAAACCAATACAGTTTGGTACCAGCGCGGCTGCAGGGGTTGCCGGAAGGTAGCACAAAGTGCCGTCCATCCGCCTTAAGGGCTCCACTCCGGGTTTGAATTCAGAGTTGTCCTTATCCTAGACCAGATGCCATCCAATGCTATAGAACTCAGTCTGTCCTGCTATTTATCCATAGCTGGAGGGAGAAGAAGAGGATTCACACCTTTCCCAAGGGTATTAGCACATAAGTGAATCTAATAGATTCGACTGGAATTCGAACTCGGCTCAGCGATTCCTCAATCCAAGCCGCTATCCATTACTCCACCATGGGAGTTTATCCGGACTGGTTGCTTTTTTAGAGTCAAGGCTTCTGATAAATCTGGAAATCTCCCGAGCAGTGTTCTGAGAGATGGAAGGATTTAGGGAAATATAAAACAAAAAGCATGTTCTGATTGAAAAGAGGCTTCAACATCTGAAACAAAAAGGGTTCTACTGTGAAGAAACTTCTTCCCTGCAGGTGGCAGGATTCAAATAAATTTGCTGCAACCTGAAAAAACCTTTACTGAACAACAATTGATCAATTGTTTCCTTTGAATTACACATTCGGACATAAAAAAAAAATTATATGAAAAGAATTCAATCGGTGATTTTGCTCATGAGATTGTTCGTCAACAGCTTCAAGGAGAAGTTCGTCCTTGTCTAGCTGATTCTCTATCGGTTATCAGCGCTGTTCTGTTATTTAGGCTTCAGTCACTTCCACACCGCAGTAAATCAGAGTTCGCTGAGCCATTTCTATAAATATTTTCATATATTATAAAAACTGCTATACTTTAAAATAGGGCAAAGAGAAAGATGAGGTGCTCTCTCTTATATATATATATATATATATATATGTGTGTGTGTGTGTGTGTGTGTGTGTGTGTGTGCGTGTGTGTGTATATATATATATATATAGAAATATATCCTTTCCTCTATCACTCCTCGCTTCAAGTCTGTAACCCTTTGCATGCTAGTGGCTTCACGCCTTGCTTGGGGTAAAAAAAAAAAATTCAGGACAGGACTGTCTGGTTACCTGTTAGCTGTGGCAAGTGTCACTGGTTGTCGGAGGAAAATGACTTGTGAATGCTGCCACCATCTGTTCTTTGTTGCAATCGGTGTTTACCTGCGGAATTGGATATCAGAGGCCCTTGGTGAATTTACTTTCACTGAAAAGTAATTCAAATGAGGCAATGACTACACTACTCACTTAATTTTTATTTTTTGTATCTGGAGCGAGCGCTAGTCACTACGCAAGGATTTTCCCCATTCAGCCCTTTTCCTGTGTACGGTCAGTCTAACAATTGCAGCAACGACTTCTTTCGTCTCTGTTTTGAATCGGTTTCAGTCCGACCTTGCCTTAAAAGTAAATTCCGGCGAAAAGTAGCTGTGTATCTAGTACGACCAGAGGGGAAAGAAACACGCCTTACTGGCTGAGGTGGCCTTCTTTTTACGGATGTGAATGTTTCTATTTATAAAGTATTCGGACACTGGAATTGTCAAGTAGGGTTTTTCTTTATTTAAAAGCAAATGCCCTTAACTGTAGCCAGTAGATAATGAATATTTGTTTTGCGAAGTAGAGTCGAACCATACGAAATACATGCATTTTGTGAGAGTAGAAAAATGTTGGGATAATTTTTACTCGCGCGGTCATTTGACGATTCCGTTACGTACACGCCCCATCTTTTTATTTATTTCAATTACGTTGACAAGTTTCAACCCGCACATTAGTGAATATGAAGGATTTAATCAAGCGTTTCTTATAGTTGCTAATTAACGGTTTCATTTGGTTAGTTTTTCTGTTCTAGTTTTTGTCAAATTTCTGTATCTAACACATTGAGACATGTAGTATAACTATTACATTCGTTGTCAGGCATTTTTATTACGTAATAACAAAAATGAAATAATACAATAATTATAATTTGTATTTTTTAGTTTTGTTTTTATTTTATTGTTTTTGTGTGTGTATAATTATATATATATATATATATATATATATATATATATATATATATATATATATATAATAGTTTTCCTGTTCTTAGATCTACTATAAAACGGAATGGTAGCACCGTTTAGGGTCTCAGCTGTAGGTAGATACTGAACTTCTCAACCCGAGAAAAAAAAGAGAGAGAGATAGAATTAAGCTGAATTTGATACATAGGAACACCCTGAAACAGGCAGATAGATAGATAGATAGATAGATAGATAGATAGATAGATAGATAGATATATTGAGATAGATAGATAGATAGATAGATAGATAGATAGATAGATAGATAGATAATGAATATATTGAGATAGATAGATAGATAGATAGATAGATAGATAGATAGATAGATAGATAGATATTGTATTTAAACCAAATCAGAGTAAATAAAATGTAATGATATCGGTCCTGACCTGGCATCTCGGCTTCAGTCACTTTCCCACAGCCGTAACGTCGCTTCTCTGTGCCTTTTCTATAAATACTTTCATGGTAATTTTTCCAATAAAGGTTCCTCTTCAGTACCTCGACTTTACGAAATTAAGCGTCAGTTCTAATCAATTTACAATTAAAATCTCTAGATGTAACTGTAAAATCCTTTCTATCACTTTTTTCTCTTGCACTTCTTGTGGAACTCTCGGCCGACTTCTCGCTCCCAAGTCAATTTTGATCTTCAAAAGTTTAGAGTGCAATGCCAATCGTTAACTTTTCTTTTCTAAATTCTTATTCTTTTATTGTTCTCTCTACTTAAATGTCATCTTCTTTTAATATTCTCTCTCTAAATTAAGAAATGGTATTATAACGTTTTCCACTTATCCTTTTTGTAAATAAAATAATACAACAATTTTATAATAGTAAAGACCCCCCCGCCCCGTGAGCGGTGAGAACTTTTCTTTTTTTGTATTTCTTTAAAATTTGAGATATCAGGAGTCAATTGAGTGAGTTTATTAGAACCTTTTCTCCTCAAACCGAGGACTCCAACAACAACTGGAACTACTGATGCCTTCATGTGCTGGGAGATTACCTTTGATTGATCTGTCTGTGTGGATTGTAGAATCCCATGAAATTGTGACAGATCCTAACACTGTCACCGGGTGTGGGTGATGGTCATACCAGTTTCTTGCAGTTTCTTTCACGTAAAAGTTACAGTGCGGATATTGGCCCAATCTATCATACCGAATTTTATATTCAGTCGGTGCTAACACCGTGAAACCTGATTCAAGATGGTCAAAAGTTTCTGGATAATTCATCACAATTTATTATTATTATTATAAATCGTAGCGTTTCTTGTTATTAGACACATACACAGATATATATATATATATATATATATATATATATATATATATATATATATATATATATATGTGTGTGTGTGTGTGTGTGTGTGTGTGTGTGTGTGTGTGTGTATAAATTAAGTGATCAATTATCTGTGTTTACCAAGAAATTCGAAGAAGATTGCGTTGTGAATGAAACTCCGAGTTGTGCTACTGGTGAGGGATAATATATATATATATATATATATATATATATATATATATATATTAATAACTCTGTTGTGTTACATCAGCCACTGTTTCATTAGCACTAACACTATATATGTACCCAATTTTCTTAAATCCAATCAAAGTTCCTTGTGAATAATATAATAATATATATATATATATATATATATATATATATATATATATATATATATATATATATATATTTATTAAACAAGAAAATTTCACAGGCATTTAAGCAAATTGGGTATACATATATATATATATATATATATATATATATATATATATATATATATATATATATATATATATATATATAGTGTGTGTGTGCGTGCGCGTGTGTTTATATTTATATTACACAGACACACACACCGATAACCTATATTATCATTTGCATATATGTTTACTAATATTCTGAGAATGTCCTTAAACAGATAGATTTATATGAAAAGACTAATACATATATATATGTGTGTCTGTGTGTATGTATGTGTGTGTGTGTAATTATAATAATGTTAATACTTATGGATATTTCCCTAAAAGATATTATTCCACAGAGCTCCATGTCAAAATATATAATAATTATTATAATGAGAACGAACAGTTTTAAGTGTTCGTTTTCATTATATTAATAATTATATATATATATATATATATATATATGTGTGTGTGTGTGTGTGTGTGTGTGTGTGTGTGTGTGTGTGTGTGTCTTTTCATATCGCAAGGAAAGTTGGCTCCCTGTGCGGCGCCAGGAAATTTTTCTCCCCGGAATCGATCCTCCAGATCTACAAATCAACAATTCGCCCTTGCATGGAGTATTGCTGCCATATATGGTCTGGGGCCCCTCCTGTTTGCCTCGGGGTTCTTGATAGGCTCCAGAGGCGGATGTGCAATATAATTGGCCCTACTCTGGCATCTCGTCTACAGTCACTTTCTCACAGATGCGCCGTCGCCTCTCTCTGTCTGTTTTACAAATACTTTCATGGCAATTGCTCCGAGGAGCTGCATTCGCTGGTTCTCAGACTTCATGAGTTCAAGCGCCCTACGAGGCTGGCATCCCACTCTCACCCCTTCACTGTTGAAACTCCTAAATGTAGGCGTCTCTCCTACTCCAATAGCTTCATATCTCGCACCTCTCGCCTGTGGAACTCCCTTCCCAATTACTGTTTCCCTGAGAGCTATAATCTCCAACTATTCAAATGTAATGTCAATCGACATCTCCAGTTGCCTTGATCTGTCCATTATCCTTCTCCTCATCCTTTTCTCTATCACTCCTATCTGATCTTGCTCCAAATCTTCTGTAACCCCTTGCGTCCTAGTGGCTTCCCGCCTTGCTTGGGGTGAAATGCTTAAAAAAAAAATATATATATATATATGCATGTATGTGTGTGTGTGTCCTAATGTCTGCCGAAAACTTTTCTTGTCCCCACACTTCCCAAAATCTGATATTTGATTATTATTGGTCGGGTCGAGTATTTTTAATCAGTTGCATATGTTCATATATATATATATACATATATATATATATATATATATAGGGAGGAGAGAGACTCTGTGGGGGGGGGCTATGTGTGGGTGTGAAAGAATAATGTTTGCATTTATTAAAGCTAGATGCTCAGAAAACTCTAATTAGGAATACCATGCAATGATTGAACTTAATTACAAAAGGAATTTTCTGTTTAGTATTGGACTAATGGATAAGCTAACTAATCATGCTTATCATTTACAACAGAGTTCTGAAAGGTTCTAACCCCAGCCAAGAATGGTTTCACAATGATCTGATATTAAGTCAGATGTTTTCAAAGTAGGTCTGGCCGAGATCTTTCCAACCCTTGCCTTGTATATAATAATATGTGTGTCTGTATGTCCACGCAATCGAACATAGACGTTTATATATTTTGCGTGTGTCTTCGCATATGGGTCCATTTGAAGAATATATCTTTGCGACAGAAGCATACAGATTGCCCATAATCTTAATTATAGATTCATATGCGTGTGACTTAGGATATATTCGGTCGCGTGTGATGTCGATTGTTTGTGTATGTTTGTATGTAAATGCACTCACGTCAGATAATGAAATGAGGTTCGATTTTCCCGAAGGTAAAAGAGAATATAAATACACTTAAAAGAAACGGCACAATTTTAAAATGGCTTTTTTCCAGAAAAAAAACGGTGTGCAATTTTATTTAATAAAAATACAACGCAAGCCACTTAAAATAATTATCGGCAAATACATATATATGCATAAATATATATATATATATATATATATATATATATATATATATAGAGAGAGAGAGAGAGAGAGAGAGAGAGACAGACAGACAGACAGACAGAAAGAGAGAGAGAGAGAGAAAGACAGAGAGAGAGACACAAAAAACAGAGATAGGGAGTAAGCTGAGTTTGATACATAGGAACAACCTGAAACAGATAGATAGATAGATAGATAGATAGATAGATAGATAGATAGATAGATAGATGATATGAACTGCCTGATAGATAGATAGATAGATAGATAGATAGATAGATAGATAGATATGAACTGGCTGATAGATAGATAGATAGATAGATAGATAGATAGATAGATAGATAGATAGATAGATATGAACTGGCTGATAGATAGATAGATAGATAGATAGATAGATAGATAGATAGATAGATAGAAAGAAAGAAAGAACAGACTGAGATAGATAGAGAGAGAGAGAGAGAAATAGAGAGATAGAGAGAAGCGAGGATAAGTTGCGTATTTTCAAAATAGCCGAGAAAATGGGATCATGCTACAATCACTAAATGATTTTTGTTTAATGTTGACTAAATCTGCGCGAGTCTTCAACTGGATACTTTCCCAAATTTATGCTTTGCTCTCATCATAATGTGAAAATATTAAATCAGATATTGCAAACTTCTGATAATGAAAATGGTTGTTGAAAATTGGTGATATCCACACAAAAATTTAATATATTTTCATTCTGCTCTCTCTGTGTTCCGAAATAAAAAATTACATTTTAAGACTTTTTTTTCTATATCTTTTTTTTATTTTCCCATATCTTTCTCTCTCTGTTCCTTTTTCTCCGTCTCGCTTTCTCTCTTTCTTCCTTTGTTTGTCTCTCTTCCTTTCTTTCACTCCCTTATTCTCTCTTTATTGATATATAGATATATAAATAGATAATTCAAAATACTGAGCTCAAAACCATGAAAATTAATTCTTACCCTAACACTTACTTTCCCCCGTCTCCTTCGAATTGACTTTTCTTATGTATATATTCAATAACTTACAAAGGTTAGAGTTCACAATGGTAGTGCCAAATGTCAGCCCTATTTTCGATTCCCGGGCACTGTTCTAGTTACTTCTAATTTTGCGTAGTACCCGAGAATAACAATTACATTTCTATCTAACTCTATCAACAACTTCTAGACAGTGTCAAGAAATACTAAGAAACAATTAGCTAAGAATTAGAAATTTCATTATCCATTTTTTTCGCCCGGCAGAAATATTTTCGTGTCGAAATAGACTAAAACTCTTAGTACTCTTTGTACTGTGGAGAAATGGTTAAATCAGTGGGTAAAACAAGTACTCAATCCTCGCTTTTTATTCTCAATAGAATCCAAAAGCGTCTCCCCCGTATCTGTGGGTGACGAATTATTTCCCACTCTACAACCTCTTTCCCCACAACCGAAATATCGCAAATCGCCATGGAAAGTTTTCACGTGAACAGAGGCAAAAATACAGGTTTTCAAGAATTGTAATATTAAAAAATAACATCTTCAATATGATTTCCATCTTTTGTGCTGTCCAGGGTAAGACGTTAAACTACATCCACGTCCTGGGTAAGATGATAAGCTACGTCCAGCAGCAAGGCCTCTGATCAGAACCACCTCTTTGCTGGTGTTCCCAGGTCCACCCTGACCCGGGGTGGTAGCACCTGTTAGGGTTTCAGCTATGGGCAAATAGTTAACTATTACCAGCAATACTTTTTTGAAAAAAATTATTAACAGCAATACAATCTTGAAGGAAAAATATTACTAGAAACAGATTTTTGACAAAACAAAATATTAACAGCAATAAAAAATTTTATTGGTACTAAATAACCCATTGAGGTTGATATGCCGTAAAACAAAATAAACCAAACCAATCTAAACCAAAGAATACATATTCTATTCATACGAATCTATCCTAAAAATGTTGTCGGCATTAAATAATCCATTGATATGACGTAAAACAAAATAAACCAAACCAATCTAAACCAAAGAATACACATTCTATTCATACGAATCTATCCTAAAAATGTTGTCGGCATTAAATAACCCATTGAGTTTGAGCTTTGCAAGATTCACGTGAAATTTATATGACATCTTCATATTGCCGTTAATTTTATCACATTTACTCTTTATGCGTTCAATCGAGTGTCACCCTGGCTATAACGATTAAATACATCCGGTAGCAAGACCTCTGGTCATAAGGTTTTGAAGAGTCTGGAACCACCTCTTAATTGCTGTTGTTACCAGATCCATCCTGACCCGGGGTGGTAGCGTCTGTCAGGGTCGCAGCTATGGGCAAATAGTTAACCCGCTAACTGGGTTCAAAACATTATGGAAGTATCAAATTTTATCGCAAAAATACCAGCAATACATTTTCATAGTAATAAAAAATACCAGAAGTAGATTTTCTGTAATATATATTTTGTAAAAGAAATTCCTAATGCTCCTAAGAAAATTAAATTTTGTCATTAAATGGTCCATAAGAAATTGATATGCAGCTAAACAAGCAAACTGAAAATCCTGATTTTTTAGCAGTGTCATTGTCATCAAGCTGTCACCCATGTAGGTACTGACCAGACTAGACATTGCTTAACATTTTTATAAATTAAATTACTAATGCTCCTAAGAAAATTAAATTCCGGCATTAAATGATCCATAGGAAATTCATATGCCGCTAAACAAACTGAAAATCCTCATTCTTAGGTAGTGTCATTGTCATCAAGCTGTCACCCATGTCGGTACTGACCAGACTAGACATTGCTTAACATTTTTATAAATGAAATTACTAATGTTCCCAAGAAAATTAAATTTCGGCATTAAATGGCCCAATAGGTGGACAGGCCGTGAAACAAAACAGATAAATCATTCAAATGTGGTGCATCTGTGATTTTCATTCGGTACACCTTCTCCTTTAGCAGACCCCGGATAAAATCTATTCTTTCTTCTTTCGGCAAAAACACGTTTAATCCGTGAAGGTAAAAATATAATTAACAGGATTTTCTATGCGTCTGGACTTTAGGGACAGGCTCTACAATGCTTTCACGCTAAGACCTGCCATGTCACGCACATAGCAGCGGATCCCCCGTCATACTCTACTCTTTGTATTCCAGAGGGGAGATATTTTTCACAGGCGCGTATCCTTCCCACGAACCGCTGCTTTGTGCAACCCACTCCAAACAGGTTACTTTCCCGATCACTAGAATCTTAACCAGTTCAAGTCTAGGGTTAACCGTTATCTTCCCAACATAACCGCATGAACCGTAACTCTTACTTTGTAACCCTCTACCTCGAGTGACTCTCAAATCATCGTAAAAAAAATAAAACAGATAGTACAAACTAAAATTTTACCTACTGTGCTCGAATATAAATAATATTAACGGTCTACAGAAATTATTATTTCCACTTTTGTAGTAACTTAGAAGCTTTGGCATGTAGAGAAAAGTGAAGTCAATCGGAAACTGGTAACGATGGGAAATGGTATTGAATTTCGACTGTTCATTATTTCGATACATTTTCGTCTCGCCAAACGCACTCCCCTTGCTTCCAACCGCGTCGACTTTGGCCCTGACGCTGCAACATCCATCTCATTAAATTAATGAGGTTACCCAGCATGTGCAAAGGTAAGCTACGCGTCAATATAAACGCCCTTAATAATTCAGGCTTCTGCTCTCATTTGAAGTCACCGTGACGATTATACATCCGCTCGTCTCCGCTTTACTCTCCCGTAGGAATTTACAGTTTTAGATCGAATGACGCAGGTGCCGATTGCGGGCTCACAGTAATGAGGCTCTGGAGTTGGAAGAAGGACATCCATTTATTAGTGTTTCCGAAACTCAATCATGTTTATGTATAGCAGTCTTTTTTTTTTCTATCTTTACCAACTTTTATTAATTTACTTGACTTTTTGATACAAAAGTTTACCCAATAAAAGGCTCAAGGTTCACACAAGGTAGAGGCTTACTCCATGATATGAATGCAACAAAAGGTAGAAGGAAATGAAGCTTATTAGGAAAACGAGGTTAGATAGCGATTGAGACTGGACGTAAAAAGATTATGGTTGTAGTGTTTAGGGAATTTGCTTTAATAAATATCACTTATCGAAGGAAAAACTGCTTTAGTGGAATTTTCTTTTTTATAAATTGAATACGGGGTAAATGAAGGTGATTCGACCTTGTGGATGCAGCATGGTGAGTTCTAGCTGTAAAGGTCTCAACTGATAGAGCTCATCTAAACATTTGCCATGGAAATAGTGTATAGAGTAATGATAGGCCTGTAACATTGCACAGAGTAGAGAATAAATCATCCCCTAGAAGACTTCGTAACCAATTCTGAATTCTGAAAAGTTTTTGATTGCGCAGACATGGCATCAATACTTCATTCTCAGCTTTATCTGAGTCTTGTGGAGATAAAACGTTGCAGAAAGAGACAGGTGCTTTCTGGAACGGTACAAAGAGCCGATCATTTTCCCATCATCTTTGCCATTTGAGGGTCTGCAGGGAATTCAAATACCAATAGTACCCTGGGGCATTGTTTAGAGTGCACCCGTTCATTGTGAAAGGAGAAATCTCACTCTCCAATCGGTTCTGATGAAATGTTAGTAGCTTGGTTTTATAGATATTGAAAGATACAAGCCGTTTTCTCCCCATTGAGCTGTTAGAGATCGATCAAATGAGAAATCAGCAGGTTCCTTGATTTTGGGTCTGATTTTCATGTTTCTGTTTAACATCTTATATTATCTGATGTTTTTCTTTCATTCGAATCGGCTAACCAAATTCGAATTCCAGGTGGGTTAGTTACATTCGATTATATGCAAACGTCTGAATTCATCTTATCCTCCCAGCTATGGGTTAAATAATAGGACTTGTATTTGGAAAATTATTGTTAGTCTAAAAAATTATTACAATATTCACTCGTAAAAAAAATTCTTCTTACGATCTAAAATTTCAAATAATCCACAAAATCTTGATAAATTGTAAATTACAAATCAGTTTATCTTTCATTTGACTGAGAATTTAATCTCTCATCTATTTCATATTTCTTAATCTCTGCTCTCTTGGGAGATGACTTCTTTCTGCAGCTTTCACAAGCTCGGCCACGATGGCATTCTCTTTTGAGTTCATGGTCTCTTCCAAAGTTTTATGTTTCTTTTTGTTGTGTTTCTCAAATTGAATCGTATTGAATTTGTCATATTGTAGGCATGCTTTAGGTTTTGTTATTTTAATCTTTAAAAATCGACCAATGCAACCAGACGACTTGGACGGGCAGGCTTACTGAGTGTGAAACAATATAAGAAGAAATATTACTAACGATTGAGAACAAGAAAAGATCATGAAATTCAGAAGATAACGATTAACATTGCATTTGAACATCAAAGTCAACTGGCAAGACAGAAGACAGAAGAGAATTACAGAAGCGAGAAAATAAACAGCATAGAACTTACGGTTCTATCGAGAGCCATTTCAACCGTAAAAACGATGAGACTTTGCCGCCAATCTAGTCCTGCTTGACTTGGTTTTCGTAACGCTATTCTTAGTTTTCATATGACACGATGATGATCGCTCTTATATCACGTGTATATGTTTAAGAATGTAGTGATACTGTTATGGTCCAAATTCCTTGTACCACGGTTATGGTCCAAGGTTAGAACCAATGAAAGAATAACACGAACACAGGTAGGGTATACAAAGATATATTACAACAGAAATATAATACAAAGAAGTAGAAGTATTAGTAATGACTATCAGATTTGGTTAGAGTGAACTATGTTGTCTCGACAAGTATCACTGTTCCAATGCTCTTACAATATACTCTCAATTATCTCTCCTCGTCTTACAATATATAGTGATTTACCAAGCATAGCTTAGATGCGGCACAAGGCCGAAAGTAGGGGGCACCCAGTGAGGATCGAACTCACTACTCAGTCGTAATAGTTCTAGCGAGACAAGCTTGCTAACCATTACACCATTTCGAGGTGCCCTCGTCTTACAATATATGTTCATACCTCTTGAGAGGCGCAGTATTTATAATGTCAGGAATAGTCCATTATTATTATCGGTAAGTTTCCATAACAGATACATATCTAAATCGTTTGCAGGTTATCCTGTAACCTATCTGGTTCTTAATGTGTTCTTCATAGTTTTTCCAAGTCCACAGACGTCTTATTTGTTCTTCAAACCAGGCGTTGATAGTTATTTGATTATTAACTGTGCACTAATAAACCTATTTCTCTCCGCGTTCGTTACACGATCCAAGACAAACTGGCCGATTATGTTATTGTTATGGTCCTGTTCCTTGTACCACGGATGATAGTCCAAGGTAGAACCAATAAAGAACTCGAACACAGGTATGGAATAACACAGATATATTACAAACAGGAATATATACAGAGAGGTAGAAAAGTGTTAGTAGGAACAATCAGGTTTAGTAGTAATTGTCTGAACGCGACTCTGTTTCGGACTGCCTCTGACTCGACTGACTGACTCGATCGCTCTGACTGACTGACAGACTGCTGACGGACTTCACTCCAGACTTCAGACTGAACAGTATTTAGTCAACCCCCCCACGAGGGCATCATGTGGTACAAGGCCGGTTTAACGTGGGATCTCCGAGCCCATGGGATCGGCCAGAAAATATGCCCTTTGAACCCGTATAAACGGGTTCAGGGTCGGTTTACCTCCCCGAAAGAGAGTCCGCCCTTCGGTGTAGCCTCGTTCGGTTTCCTCCCCTCAACTGATCAGCCGGTCGCCCGACTTCAGGCTGAACTTCAGACTGAACTCCCTGCTTCCTCTTGAGGCGCAGTACTTATTACGTATGGAATAGTCCATTATGTTATTATGGGTAATGTCCCATAACAGTTAGCTTATCAACTTCTCCCCCAGCTATGGATTAAAGAATTTCAGACAGTGCATAATGTGTGGTCATTCACAGAAAATAAAGACAAGGAATATGTGATCGGATGCGTCCTGAAAGGACCAGCCGTTCAAACTATGAATTTATTTCTGTCCTAGTCTTTGACGTTCACTTCGAGTTTATTCCATTGGGACAGACACCAACCGTTTTCCTATCTAAATAAATATGCTCTTGGTTAAATAGCTGGACAGATTGATCTCACTCGTCTTCTAGTGCAGCCAGTCTACGATAGAGCTAAAGAGATCAATTAGAAAAGATACAACTCAATTCATGAGACGTTTGGCACGTGACGGAAGAATTTCAGCAATGATAGTCCAATGAGCAGTGAAAAAAGCCTTGAAAATTAAATCGTACGCGAAACCTGTGAGGCACCTTGTTACTCCAGGAGAGAAAGGTAGAAGGTTAGAGAGGGCGAATATCTTCTTGAATAAGTTGGAAAATGACCCTGGAATAATATATATATATATATATATATATATATATATATATATGAACTTAATTTCAATCCTTCATGAGCTTCTGATCCATAGCTATGCTGAATTAATCATGAAAATGTCATTTTTGTTTATGATCGATTTCATCACGATTCTTCTGTTAAGCTTAAAGTAAAATTATACATTCTTATTGCTCAAAGTAGAGTCCAATAGAGAATTCCAATAAGATATCTTTAATCAATTCTAAGATACAATAGCTCAGAGCTTAATCGGACAATTTTGCTGTTACACTCGGTATATGTGTGTGGGTAAGCGTATATATAAAAGAAGGACGAAGGTTACGACTTCCGAAACGTTGTAAGTATAAAAAAGTGAGTATATAATTCCGAATGGAAATGGCATATATCGAAACAAGACTTTATATTCTGGATAGGATTTCCCGGAACAATGACTTGAACAGCGTGAAGAAAAACTGATTGTATTCTTCTGAACTATTTTGGCGTTTGATCATTTTTTCTCACTCTGGAAATTCTTTTGAATAAAAGCAAAACGCCAACACAAGCCCATCATTTCTAATGTGGAACACTTCCATAAAATAACATTAGAAACGTGATTGCTCCGTTTATTGAATATCGATTTTGTTGCTTGACCAATTTTTCTTGACCTTTGTGCCATGATGGGACATTTATGAAAACGGGCGTATCATCATTTGAAATACGAACTGGTCATTTCTTTGTGAATTTACCGATTGCTAAAACTAGGCTCTCAGCTTTGAATCGATGGTCTTTGGAAAACCGAAATTACAGCTTAAGAAACCAATAGCAAAACTAAGTAGGGCGATGGGTGATCTCAAGATATTTGATGCTTTTTTCAACTCCTTTCTTTATTAATCTTTATTTATTTATACATAAGTATATAGATATTTGCTGAACTTTGTAGATTGCCACAAATACTTGCTGAATTCTGATCTGAAATGTTCACTCTACCATTCGATCTATGATAGTGATATTTATTGGTAAATCACATGCAATGGACAGAAAAGAGATTATATTGATCATCAAATATTTCTTCTTTTTCGTCTTCTTCTATGTGACGTATCCCTTCGGAACGTGAACGATCATGTCTCTCCACACTTTCCTATCCTTTGTATCTGATAGTAATGTTTCTCTTTTAACCATCCCTCGGACTCCCTGTTCCGCCATCCATTTACCCAAACTCGCTAAAAGAGGTTACTCGCTGTTTTCCTTTACTCCTCTTGCCTTCAATAAGTTCCGTTGAGTACCAAATTCTCCAAGCCTACTTTTCTCATTATACGTTATAGACATTTTTTATGAGGTTTGTTTCGCAACTTTGTGGCACCAATTATCTGTTATCAGTCCTTCCAAAAGGTGCCGGCTGCTTCTACGTATATCTCCACTGGTAATCAATCTTGTGGAAAGTCTGACGGTTCAATTCTAACAAAATGAATTGT